GACCAGCGTGAACTTGAGATGAGCTTCATTTTGGCTCACCAAGGACCAGCGTGTGAGAAATGTGTGATGTTCTTTGTTATTCGGGGGGGGTGGCTTTCGCAACCGCAACAGATCTCTAGCTTTCGCATGACGAAGAGCGAGTACAAATTATAGATAATCGCCACAAGATCTCGTCTTTCGACTGTTCAGCCTAACGAAGTAGCACAAACAGGCCTAAAGTTAAAGATTGGCTAAAGCTAAAGAGGGACGCTTCAAGCTTTGGATCGCGTCACTTGCACTTTGTTGAAAGAAAGGAGTCTGCACCTTCTGTGCACGATCTTCTGTCTGGTACCTCGTTGTCCCTAGTCCTAAGCCCAGTAGTGGCGCCGAGAAGACTTCCCTTTCATCCTGAGAAAACCGCACGTTCCACATCGTTCCACACTCCGCACATTCCGAAATGGTACCTCACTCCCATCGGGGGATGGCAAATAGATGCTGCCATCTTTGCCCATGGAGCGCACGTTGAACTCCCTGGCGTAGACGATCCGATATGCACGGACTCTTAATAACTACTGTGCAGTTCTGCAGATTCCAGTTGCCGAATTGTGCTAACGGCAGGGTCCTGAGACCTACATTACTCTACATTGCGCCACTTGCTTCCAGAACTCGCATCAAAAAGCGCTGGCAACACTTCCCCAGCATGTTCTCCATCGCACGCTTGTAGACCACTCCCTTGGACTGCTGTCCAAACTTGTCGAAGAGCTGCATCAACTGCCAGGTCTCACGTGAACGTGCGGGGGGTTCTGGGGGTCCAAAACTAGCACCCTCTTGTAATACTAGGGTAGAAAACGCTACTAGGAACAAGAAGCTACTAGGGGCTCCTGGCATCGCTACTAGGAGCAAGGACGCTACGAGGTCCATTGGCCCCTGGACTCCATTGCGCTAAATGTGTTTCTCCTCTTTTCTGGCAGGGAAATAGCCACCCAACTCTTCCAAACAGGGACTCGCCATGGGGCAGAGTCAATTCCCTTTCTTGACCAACCAGAAGAGCACAAGCCAAGAAAGGCCAGAAATGGTCAGAAGCTCCTTGCCTCCTGCTTGTCCTTCACCACCACCACACGTGAACCCTTCAAGATCTGCGCGAAAAGGGTTGCTCAGGTCGAGTGCAAGGCAAGCCACCAAAGACACTCCACATCAGCAAATCATTCCGTCCAGCAAACATCTTCATTGCTGATTGACAATGATCTCCATTTATCATTTCAATCGTTCGAGATTCTGTTGTATCTCAGTCTCTCTCCATGTCCGCCTTGGGGTTTCCATCTGCCTTCTTGGCTGACTTCCTCCAGTCGCGGGGGAAGCTCTGCGGTGGGGTCTGGGACAACTTGCAAAGCCATCTTGCAAACCAACTACGTCTTCACGGAAAACAACACTGTCGCCGGTCGCGAGCAAGCAACATCGTACAACATGTTCTGTCCTTTCGTTGCATGGTGAAAATATGTTATAAACAGGTGCAAATCTCTCAAGGCACATTCCAACGCCTACGGCGCCTACGGCGCCTTCTCCTTGGAACCGCTGAGAGCCGGGCCCGGCGTCATCGTCTTCGTCGAAGCCACGCTCCGAGCCGGGAGTATCTTCGATCTGGAGGCAGGCACTGGTGGGTGCTCCGTAAGAGCTCTGCCCGAAGCGAACGAGCGAACGACCCAAACAGAACGCAGAGCTGAACAACCTATCTGGATGGCTTGGGGTTTTGAACTTCTCCGTTGCCAGATATAGAGTCTGAATTGGGGTTTTGCGGTGAACGAGTTCTTCCAAGCCAGGCCCAGCCTCCACCAGGATGGGTCTCAGGACCTCATGGTATTCAGTCTCCTGAAGCCGAAAGAGCGTTTTTGTGGCGAAGGAGGGGCAGCAAGAAACAGAAACGACAGCTCACCAGGTCAGAGGCATCCGGTATCCTCAAGCGATTTACTTTGACCAGAGGGATCCTTTGGCCCCTCAGACCTGCCCCTGGGACCCACCTGCATTCACTGTCTTAGGTCCAAGATGCATCCGGCAGCTGAGTCTTCTTGTGGTAGACCCTCGCCTAGGTCGAAGGTCGACTAAGGCGATATGCTTACAATCGTTGAGAGTCTTGCTTATTGTCGAAACACACACTTCAAGAGTGCTGCCAAGAGGGTTTGTAGTTTCCAAGTGCTATACTGTTTGTGTCAAAACAATTCAAAACAGCTGTACAAGGTTTGCTCAACCCACAACAAACGTGAAGCAAACGCCATCCACGGGGGCGAAAAACTCCCCCTACAGCGGACCCCTCTCTTGGCATGGAGCAGTCTCTGTTCTCACGTAGCGCGACATGAAGCTGCCTGAGCTCCAAGACAGAGAAAAAATGGGTGGTCCACCAAGGAAGGAGAGTCAAAGAAACCTAAATATGCGAAGAAACTCAACTGTCAGCTACTGGCAGACACTCACCAACTGATTTGAGCATTGAGTTGATCTTGTATGTTTATACCATATACCAATGTGCCGAGGGGTTAGAGCCTCAAGCTGTAGTTTGAGTGTTCGTGGTGCTCAGGTATGTGGATAGGACAAACCTGTCTAGTCTTGATTCAAGGGCACTTTAGGCCACCAGTTGATTTCTGTTACCAACGATGTTTCATTGGCTGAAGCGATCTGGAGCCCGCGGCAGTTGACAAAGGCATTGATCAAGCTTGTCTTGCCACTGGAAGAAGCACCAAGCACCTGCCAGGTGATTCGAAGACTCTGTCTAAGAGTGACTCCTAAGAGACAGACCAGTCTGGTAACAGCTTGCATAGAAGCTTCAAATCTCCCTACAAATCAACCACAAGATTCCTTTGAACACCCAAATGTGTTGAACAGGTCGAGTCCACTGAAATCCCCAAGCTCTTCGAGTTTGAAGCGTCCCGGTCTCGATATGGCGTGACCATTGGGATCCTTCCGGAACCCCTGCCAGAGAGTCTCCAGCAAATGTCCAAGCCCGGCAAATCGTGAGATCCCTGAGGCTCCTGCCGATATGCGGAAGAATCTCACCTTAGAGTGAACATATGTGAACATGCTCTAGTCACCTAGTCGACATCAAGAACCTCCTTGGACTTGCTTTCAATGAGAGCGAACCAACCATGCAACCATCCAGCTGGAGTGTGCAAGTTTCCACAAATTCTGCCGAGTTTCCGCAGAATCATCTGGCATGGCCAAAGGTCCACACGCTTTTCGAACACTCTGTAATTTGCAATCAGCTGTTTGAAGTCAAATTGGAACGATTCTGCCCTGTTGCTTCTGAAGAACTTGGATTCGGATGTACGACATGAGCTTTAACTTCTCCATGATTCACCTGAACCCAAAGCTTGCAGAAAATGGCCAGAAATGCCTGTGCAAGTCACGTCCATCGGTCCAATGCACATGAAACGAGCAATGACCATCGACTCAATAGATTCGGCCCCGGCATGCCATGGCTCCATCGTCTCTGCACACTCTTAGCGCAAGACCATTCGAGTAATGTCAACAGGATTGGAGGGCCGCTAAGCTTCAAATGAAGAACAGGTCGAATACGAAAGTGGTCTACAAAACAACAACAAATCCGTCAAGGAAAACCAAATTGATTGAACCCATGGGAATCACAGTTGGGTCAAACACAAATCTGACCTTAGGTTGACATGTTTTGGGTGCAGGCCTCCCTTCTTAGCTTCTTAGACACAAGAAGTCACATACAATTGCTCAGGCCACCGCGGAAGGCCGATCTTGAAAGCTGCAGCCCTTGTTTTTCGGACAAAATTGTGTGCCAGGCAAAGCCGGCAGGAAGATCTGGCGACCAGCACTGCCTAGCTGCTCTACAGAAGAATACAATAGACAGAATTGAAGTCTCTTGCTTTTCAGAGCAATTTCATCGATTTCTTTGGTCAGGAGGCTCTTTGGCCTCAGATTTCCCAGGCCAAGGATGTCACCTTGGCCGGGCACTTCTCTTTTTTCAGATGAGCTTCTTCTCCTTTAACTGGCACGAATTCGCGGCTGGGTGTTCATCTGTAGCGGACGCTCGGCAGTCACGTTGCAAGGCAGCCACCGCGCGTTGAGCTGACTGGCAAGCTTGCTCCAACCTGAAAGGCTGAGATGAACAACAGAGTCTGTATTGTATTTGTCTTCTGTTCTTTTTGTGGATCCCTCTTTTTGGGGGGCTCGACTTTTCGTGGATACAGGACTTCGGGACTTCTCTTCACGATCTTCGATGGGTGTGCCAGCTTGCTACTTTGCTTAACCTTTGCGAGGCTGCCGTCCCAAACAAGGTCGCCGTGCAAAAGGGTCCCAGTGCGTCCAACCGGCGTGCACAGTGCTCGCCTCTCCTCTCCTCTCCTCTCCTCTCCTCACAACAGCAAGCGTCAGATCGCAGTGGGCACTCCCGGACCTCAACAGCAAGCTCCAGATCGCAGTGGGCATTCTATCAATCCGCATGTCCGCCTTTGTCAGGTTAGTCTGTCAATACACGTGCCCTGCCTTCTTCCAAATCGCCTTTCAGGGTGATCACTCGAAGTAGAGCCATTTAGAGTAATGTAGGGTGGCCACATGAAATGGACTTCCTAATTCAACTGCGGCTGACCCACATAGATGTTGTAAAATGATGTTCGCCACTTACAGCCTAGGTCTAAGAATCATTGAAAAGAAAAAGTGGAGAATAAAAGCAAACAAAAAGCAAAACCGATAAGAAGAGAATGATCTTTTCGTGTATAGGGAATGTACAGGGGACAGGGCATTTGCAGGGTATCAATATTGCAGAATTGTGAATGGATAACATCCTGCGACCGATGACAGCCTCTTGTGCCCCTGGTCGTCATAAGCGTGTCCTCGTGTGTTTGTATAGAATGGAAAAAAAACCTGGAAAAATTGGTCTTTGGACGATAGTTGGTGGTTCTGCTACAACAAAGGAAAGAAAGAGAGAAAGGTTTGGGCCAAAGTTCTATCGTGCATGTTCTTCCATCAAAAATGGCTTCGTACATACTTACTTACATACTGGACAAAGATCAGCAGCTGAGCGACAGGCTCATTCCCTCCAAGGTGTACGCGCCAGCCACGTAGAACCCATCTTGGCCCTGCTTTTCTTGAATCCAGGACCACAACTCATGCATGGCAGTGGTATAGGTTGCTCTGGACAGCTGAACATCTTTCACTTTGAGATCTGGCGAGCACTCTTGTGCGGGATTCCAAGTCTCAAAGAGATTCTCACTGAGGTCATCTCTTCCCCAAAATTTGTTCAGCCAAACGGTAATTTGGCAAGTGCTATCTGGCCCATCTTCTCTCACATTGAAGGTCCGCCAGTCTTCCTTTTTGGGCGGCATCAAGGCAGGGTCCTTGTGCACAATGATCCGACCCTTCTGGTAATGAATCTTGGACAGCATGGCCTGCCACTCACCTCCCAACAAATATCCCGCGGCGGGTGCATCGGTGGCAACAATGACAGCATCGTACATGGTGCCATCGATCTCTCTGCTGCCATTGAAAGGAGCCACAGGAGAGTTGACCTTGAGCACCTTCCCCTCCAGCAGTCGATCCTGCAAGGCCCTCATGGTCGGATAGACACGCAGGATGTTCCCGCTGGACTGATACATTCGCACAAAGGGGTTGCTGGCTCGAATGAAGCCTAAGATTACACCGGCAGGTGTGCCATTGGCTTGCTCATATGTACAAGACAGCATCCAGCTCAAGTGCAAGCTATAGATCCGGTAGGCCTCATGATCATGGAGCTTGTGGCGCTTCATGTATTCCAAGAAGGTCTCATTGGGCAGCTCGGGGCGGAAGAAGACGGTGAACATCAACCTGACAGGGACAGCTCCAGCAGTCAAAACCTCCAAGTGACCCACCGCACTTCCCCACAGCCCCAGTCGAGCGCAAGCTTCGTCCATTAAAAGTACCTGAATCTCCAACCTACCAGTGATGGCCTCCACCCTAGTAGCGATGGCCTCCACCCTAGCAGCGGAACAAAATAAAAAACACATCCTTTGCACAGAACGCTCCTCGCCAAGTAGGGCACGTACTTCGCATGCTGGCAAATATGTGTGAACCAACTCGTCGAGGTGACTAGAAGCATCTCATCACCACACTGATAGGCCGCGTTGTAAGGCACTGCTTTCGTGGGGATCTTCAGCTGGCGGATCACTTGTAGGAGCTCTTGATAATAGTGAGGCATCATGAATCTCAAAGGAACATCAACTGCCACACCTCCCAAGACAGCATGACTCATGAGTCAACATTGATAGCAAAATCGGCATCGCCCGGGCTGTGAAGCATCGTATCTGAGACGTCTAGTCTTAGAATCCGCAACATTGGGGATATGGGCAACCAATGAGGTGTTGTCAGGGTCTAAGCTAGAACCATCTAGAACCTAGAACCCATCAGATTCATTTGGCGCTGTTCTCTTCCCCTTCCCCCCTTGTTCCAGTTTCTTTGGGAAGGCCTACTAAACTAAGTAGCATAGCTTTTAAGCTTCACAACATCACCGGTGAATTTCGCCCAAGCAAAAACACGCCAAACCGAACCCCACCCCCGAACTGCCGTCGTCTCGGTCGCCTCCAAGATCCTCCTGTAGCCCCACAAGGCCACACTTGGGGCCCGCCTCGAAGATGACCACGTCATGGGTCGCTTCCAAGAGATGGGCCGCAATTAAACCACTCATCCCTGAGCCAATCACTGCAGCCAGTGGCCTGGGGTGTTTCTTCACCTCCGCGTGGATTAAGACATAGTCCAAGTAAGGAGCTAAAGAACTGAGACCAGGCAGCTGTGATAGCACATGAGGTTCCAGTGATTTCCAAGAGATCTTTGAGAAGCCAGCCTCTTCCAAGGCCTTGCGATACTGCGGCTCAGTCCAGTGGTTGGACCATTGAATGTTCATTGCACAAAGCAACAGCCGGATCCACCAGGGTGCATCAGGGCGCAGCACCACGTCTGTCATGGACAAACTCTCTCTGGCCAGCTTGGCGGAGTCTCTGAGAAATCTGGCCTTCTGGAAGTGGTAGACGCAGTCCACTGCCAGGATCTTGGAGAATTCCCCACAACGGATGTGGTTCACTCCATGGGCCATCTCTTCCACTCGACCCACTCGGATCTCTTCCGGAGCTTCGGGTCGCGTACCATGAGCATCCAAGCCCTGGAGGCGCGTGGGGTGGAAGCGTTCTCGGAAGAATTGAAGCTCCTGCCCCTGGCCACAGCCGACGCAAAGGACCTCATCAGCCTCACAAAGTTGGGCTTCTTGTCCAATCACTTCGGCCAAGGACTGGCAGGCTTCGCCATACGACTTGGCCGACTTCCAGTAGCCTAGATTCATCCATGCAGTCGATTCCTGACCAAACACCCTTGCGACCTGGCTCTGCAGAGCTGTGACTATGAGGGAGTGAAGGTCATGATGATAGAAGGCGAGAAAGGCACCTAAAGCAAACCCTGGTGAGGCAATGTACAGGACCAAGGTCCAAAGAAGGAGCGAAATCGGTGAAGAAAGCTGCTCTGTCATGAAGGAAATGGTCAGAAGAGAGCTTGCTAAGACATCCACTGAGATGGAAATTTGGCAATCAGAAGAGGGCCAAGGACTCCGGCTGGATGCTAGATGTGTGAGGCAACTCAAAAAAGGCCAACACCAAATAGACAATGCCCTTGTGGACTCGAGGGCCAAGGCGGCCAAGGCCGAGAACTTTGGGAACGATCAGGCAAACATGCAATCCCCAAAGCCACCAGCTCAACTCCCGGTATGTCTTGCTCATTGGCAACATCCATACACACAAGAAAGCCATCAAACATGCCACCAGCAGCGAGATGTGCACGGTGTCACGATCTTCTTCGCGTTCTCGTCGATGTTCAGGCAAAATCAGGCAATAGCTCCCAGACATTGCACCAAACAAGCCGAAGAGCTGGTAATAGAGGGGGGCATTGATAGTCCAAACAGTGCCCACAATGGCCCAACAAAGAAGCATCTGCGTGTAGCCCCAGTTGCCAGTTTCTTGTCCCCAAATCACATCGGCATATGCCACATCAAATAAATTCAAGCCATCTTGGTACCACGAGGTCTTTGGATAGTTGATGGTAAAGCGCAAGATATAAAACCACGTGACGGCGATCAAGAGCCCCGAGGCTCCTCTGCGTGCACCTGACTTGGTGCTGCAGTATGAAGCTATCATTGAGATGGCCAACACCACGAAGTACAAGGCCAAGCCAGCATAGTTCACCGGCGACATGGACACCATGGTGGAAAAGGGGCCCTTTCCTTGTGATCCACATATGGCTAGCAGAAGAAAATATCTCAAGCCAAGAAAAAGACTTGGCTTCACCGCATCTTTCGCACGCAGCTGGTGGGGTAGCTCTTTTGCGTGCAAAACCTCGCAAAATGAAGAGCTGCTTCGGTGTCATCCGGCATATGATATGTACATCGCGTGCCATGCAGGTGTGCAGAGTCCTCTTTTTGTTGTCTTGTTCTTTTGACAGCGGACATCATCAGAAGCTGTGGCTCTCGTTGCTTCTGTTGATGCCACGATGCAGCTGCTGAAGCTCAAAATGTGGGTGTTTCTGCCCAACGGTGTCATGACACAACCCGTCTCGAAAGAGAGAGGCACACAGAATGTTCACCATGGATCACGAGCTATAACAAATAATCCTACCCCCGATGTGGGTCAACACCCCCCAGGTCGCCAGTTTGAGGGAGGCAAACCCTCCCATGGGTGTGACTAAAGGATAAAAGGAAAGGATTAAATATATAGAGAAACCTGTATTCTTTCTGCCCAAAGGGTCTGAATTGTGAATCCTTGTGGGTACAGGACCAGGGTTTTGACCCACAGCGGGAACCTGCTTCGGCTGGTTGCTCATGAGTCCTTCCACTTGGCAGCGCGCTTCTCAATAAAGGCCTCATCCAATTCTTTTTTTTCCATGGATGCAGTGGGTGGTCAAGTGCGGTATCTGCAGTCACTTGGCACAGCAAAGTGAGGATTTCACCACCTCTGGTGCAGGTTCTCTCACCGGTTCTCTCAACCCAATTCGACTCTCAAACGACTGCATTTGCTCTCAATTCAACAGGGAAAACGGAGAAAACGGAGAAAGAACGGCCAATGTCCAGCACCCCGGAAACGGCCGGCTGCCTGGAAGCCTTCACGTCGATCTTCAAGGCCCCAGGTGGCATGGAACAAATGTCGTTCAAACCTGCGTGATGGGCCGTGATGGGCAGTGGTTGTCATTCAAATACCTCCCAAGTCGACTTAGAGAGGAACGTTGTATGGATTTGTGAGAAGTCTGTTTTCAGGAGGAGTTGGTTCTCGAGTTCTCAGGGTGATTTCTTAGCAGGAGAGGGTTGTGAATGTTATTGGGGCTGCAGTTCCTCATGTATCAAGAGAACAAATGACTTCGAATCATCATTTATGATTCATGATTCATTATTGTTTCTTGAGCAAAGGCCACATGGACAGCCATGAACACGCTGCTTCTCTTTCTCTCGCGTGATTGCTGCGTGGCTGATGCGCTGCAGCGGTCATTAACTGGCACTGCAACTCAGCAGTGCCTTCTGGACATGGAATCTGTTTGAACAAGGAAATGCTGATGTCCACGTGCGCAAGACTTCAGGTATAACCGCCCTGTGTTGAATTTACTGAGTCCAGCTCTCAGTCCAAGTTTCCAACAACCGAGCATTGACAGCCTCACGTGTTTTCGGTCCCCCACGTAAATGTCGCTGAAGACATCAACAAATCCCGAGCTGATTCACACCATTTTGAGTCTTAAGCGCTTCGAAAGCACCAAAGCAACAACTGGAGTGAAACAAAGGACGAGCCAGGCTTACCTCAGTAAGTTGGGATCACGAATGCACGAGAAATATGATGTATTAGATGGCTATTATTATTTATTAGTATCTATTAGATTTTATTAGTATATACATGGCGGCTAGTGGTGGCTTGTCAAACTGTTTATTCCTGGAATCGAAATTCCATGCATGCCGCCTCTCGCTTTCACACAAAACCCACAATCAGCAATGTAGGTATTCAATAAAGGCAACACACAAAGCAAATTTGGTCATCGTTGAACAAATCTTGAAACCGCTGCAAGCAAACATTGCATTCCAGGAGCCTGTGTCTTTTACTTCTTCCTCTATATATAAAGAATTTTAAGGATCCCAAGGGTTAGGGGTGTTGCTCAGTTGTCAACTCTGCCCTTTGTTTACACATCTCTCAACGTGAGCCTCCACAAACATCCATAAACATCATATGGGCAAATAGTTCTGGGATGTTCTGGGTTATATATGAGTTATGAGAATCTGGAGTCTGGCACCAACCCGGCAGACCCTGTGGCGTTTCTTCGAGCGCCAATGCGCGGAAACCTAGGGGATGACGTGGACATCTTCTTGAGGTGCTGCCTCTTGACGAAGAATGAACATGCATGTCTATGCATGTGAGCAAGGACACTGCTAGGGGCTCCTGGCCGTACTACTAGGAACAAGAAGCTACTAGGGGCTCCTGGCATCGCTACTAGGAGCAAGGACGCTACTAGGGGCTGTGATTGGTTCAAACACTCACACACCGCGCGAGCAAAAGAGAGAGGCTGTCCTTCCTCCCACCCCTCGTCCTCCCCCGCGGCTTCGGCCACGGCACCGGAGCGGCTTGAGCCCCATGCCCTTTCGGATCTCATTCCACTCCTCCACCGACAAGCCGTCCTGTGAGCCGTCATGTGGGTTCCGTGAGCGAAGGGCTCCGTGAGCGCGGGCTCCGCAGACTCTGAACACATCACATGGTTACGTGGATAGTACGACTTCTTTTGGAAGACTACTTTCCTTCAACAAGCAGGGTCACGTCCATGTTAGTGAGTCGGAGAGTAAACAGAAAACAATTGGAGATGGGCCATGGCAAAACAAAATTCAAGGCATCACCAAAACCGGATCAAAGGGATACACAGACCCAGATCGAATGACTCTCTGGTGGGCGGTCTGTAGGACAAAGTTGATTGCTTGCGCCTTGTCTTTCTTGGCATGTCCTGCTGCTCTTTCTTCATCTGCCTTGTTGACCTTATTCGTACGTGACCACGTCTTTTGATGTGTTTGTCTACGTCTACGCATGGGCTTGTAATGCGTTCTAAGCATGCGGCATTCTTTGACTTCTTTGTTTTCTTTTCATCCTCTTTTTTCTTTTTTATCTTTCTTGTCTTTCTTTTCCTTCTTCTCCTCTCTATCATGGTCTTTCCGTTTGTGCCCTTGCTCCTGATCCTTCGTCCTTCTTTCCTTCCTATCTTCATCTCGGTCTCTTCTCTCTTTTCTCTCCTCCCTTCTCTCCTTCCTCTCATCCTCTCTCCTATCCCTCTTCTCCACATCTCTTCGTTGTTTTCTCTCCTCACTTCTATCTTTGGTCTCCTCCACCTTCTTTTCTTCTGGCTCCTGCGCCTGCGGCTCTTTCTCCGCCTCTGTGATGGCTTTGGGCTCATCCTTTGCTTGCATTTCCTGAGTTCAGGCAGACCACCCCCACCAGCTGGTTTTGGAGATCACAGAGTCAGATTTGTCCGAATCTTGCTGGATCTTCCAAGAACTCGGACAAAGCATTCCCTGTTCCAAAGTCCCCCAGAATGCTGCTGATGCTTTGAGTGGGCCATAGGCTAGGAGTCCGAAGCTCCTTCGGCGAACACAGATTTACTTGGATGGATTTCTACTTTATCGTGAACAAAATAAACCATTCTGTTCTCCCTGCACCTGCCGTTCTCAAATCACGGCTCAGCCAACCCCAAACGGGACTTAGGTGGTTCATGCTTCAGCTTGTTCATCACAACAGTATATAATGGTGCTGGTGATGCTGCCTTAGCCCTTTGCTTTTCGAGCATTTTATGGATGCCATCTGATACAAATTGAAGCATGAACCAAGAGCGACCGTGGTTGAGCGAGTTTCCGGCACCAAGAAGGCTTGTTCTTCACATGTTCATATGTTCAGCAATCTGGGCTAAAGCAGCTTCTTGCTCCGTTCGTAGCGATGCCAAGAGCCCCTAGTAGTGTCCTATGTCCGAGAAAGTGAGACCCCGTTCCCGTGCACGTCTTCGACCCCATCGCCTTGAGAGATCTTTCGAGCTCTTCTAAGTCTTCCAGGTCGTCTTCGAGGACCTTGATAGGAAAGTCGTGGGAGTCACCCCGCTGCGGCAGATGGCTTGTTATGTATGGCGAGTGATGGGGATTCTATGGGATCATCCATGCACCTCTCTCACGTGAAGCAACTAACACACGCGATCTGTCGATATGTATTGCAGATTCTTTTCTGTGTCCAGTTGCATGGTGGTTGTTGCTGCTGTTGGTATAGCGGGTTCCAAGAGAATTAACCTTTAAACTTAACAGGCTGGAAGAATGGAAAGAAGTTGCTCGATCTTTGCTACCAGCTACCATCTCCAATCTGAAATCCAGAAGGCAGGGCGAGGCATCCGTCCAATCTTCGCATGTTCTGAAGCAAAGAAAAATGGCTACTAGCAGCAAGGACGCTACTAGCAGCACGTGCATTACTACTAGTAACAGGTGCATCGCTACTAGTAACAAGGACGCTACTAGGAGCAAGGATGCTCTGCAGCATGGATCACTTCCTCACCTGAGTCTCGGCCTGTCTCAGTCCCCAGCGCTCTGGTACACATCCAGCTGCCCAGTTTGCTCCAAGATCTCTCGCTTGGGGATCTGGGGCATCGTGACCTGAAGCAAGTCCGACTTGGGGATCTCGAACGCTACTAGGGGCTCCTGGCCTTACTACTAGGAACAAGAAGCTACAGGGGCTCCTGGACTTGGGGATCTGGGATAGTGCTTTTTAATGCTCCTTCCGGAAAGGAGTTAGACATAGGTCTTCGTGATGTTTGCTTTCCATTCTTTCAGGGGCTATACTGATATATATATACATAGGTGGTGATTTACATTGTCAGTCACCTGGTTTCTTTGGATGTGGATTTATTTCAACATCACTACCCTTTCCTGAGAAAGGACGTCAAAAACTGTAAGTTACATTTTCCTGTGCGGAGGGCCTCAAAAATGTAATTACATTATTTTTGAGGTGGCCTCAAAAAAGTAACCTACATTGTTGAGGCCCCAGGGATCATTTTCTGGGTAATGACCTCAAAAATGTAAGTTACATTTTTGAGGCACGGTGGGGCGCTTACATTTTTTGACCCCCCTGAGTCTGTTTACTTTTTGTGAGTGTGCCTTTAATTGCTGTTGTGTGGTTTGCTGCTGCTGAAAAGCAAACATGATGGAACAGCAGTTTTCTCTGAGTTGGTCTGAGTCACCATCAACAAAGAAGAACAGCAACACACCCAAAGCAGACTCACATGTTCCCACTCAGGACCCAAAAGGAAGGGGGGACAAAACCAAACCGACACATAGCAGAGCTTAATCACTGCTTGTTGTTGCCCTGGCTGCTTGTCCCCTATGAGGGAACAGCAGTTGGTCTGAGTTATCATGAGCAAAGAAGAAAAGGAAACACCCCCGGCCCCCCGAAGCAAACTGCCAAGCAAAAACAAACATACATGTTCCCACTCAGGACCCCAAAGGAAGGCGACAAAGCGAAACCCAAACATAGCATAGGATCATCCACATGCTGCACAAGAAGGGAGAGGTCAATGTGTTATCTCACACGGTTGCCTGTCTGCTTGTACCCTGTTGCGTTACCTGCGTGTGATTTTCAGCATGCTAAAGTGTAATTAATTCAGGGGGGGACACCCCAGTTCCTTGTAAATTCTGCAGGATTGGGGATGTGGCAAACATGTAAGTTACAACTTGTGAGGTCAACCTTTCTCCCATAACCCAGTTTTTTCCCGACATTGACGTGTGGGGTTTTGTTTTTAGTGTGGTATCCGCTCCTCCTTCCCGCCTCCTTACCACCTCCTCCTCCCCACCAATTGCCACCAACAAATTGTCACCAACTAAATGTCACCAACCAATTCTCATCCACCGATGTTCATCAACCAATTGCCACCCACCAATTCTCACCAACCAATGTCATCAACCAATTGTCTTCTCCAGGGGGTACGCCCGGGTGCTGGCCGGGGCTGGCCGGGGCTGCTGGGTCTCGGCCGCTGTGCCGCTGTGATTTGCGTGGCAGGCGCCGTACTTCCCCGTACTTTGGTGTTCTCCAACCAATTGCCACCCACCACCCAACCTCCACTCCCTCACTCTCCGTCCTCAGACATTCTCTCTGGCTAAGTTGCTAACATGTGGGGTTATCCGGTCCTATAATTTGGATGCGTGGACTAATTGTAAGTTACATTTCTTGAGGCGATTTTTTCCTTGGTGGTGAGGCAGAGGCATCAGTTTGTGTGTGTGTATAGTCAGGATTTTCGCTTGGCTTCATTGTGAATCTGCATCATTATGCAACAGTTCAAGCAGACATAAGCTAACGCCCGCTAACGCTCTAGGTAGCCAACGCTATAGGTAGGGGGGTTTTTTTAAAGGTAAGTTCAGGCCTGCCAGGTTGTAAGTTACATTTTCCAGACCCTCCCTACCCTGTCGATCTGCCGACGCAACCTTGGGGGGGTTGCAAAATGTAAGTAAGCGCGTGCCAGGTCACAAGTTACATTTTTTTTGACCCCCCCCACCCTCTACCCGTTTCGATGGTGCCTCGGGGGTAAGTTACACTTTTGGACCCCTTAGGGTCCCACCCTAAAATGTAACTTACATGTTTGAGGTCCCCCCCTCCCGGAACCATCATAAGGCAGGGTGAACCATGGTCATTGTCAACATCCTGAACCTGAATCAAAGATCAATTGATAGTAAAGGTATGTTGAGGTAAACTATAGCAACTTCTGCCAAAGGACGTCACAAATCGTCTCTTCTCTCATCAACCAATCCACAAACTCGTCCATGCGGATGATGGACCTGAGAAGAATGAAGCCCGGTGCTTCGGTTCTCAGTCCGCTGTCACATGACACGAATGAGTTCTCTACCGACTCCGTGAAGGTAAGTGTGTTTCTCTTCAGACCAAACAATGTCTTGCCAATTTAAAACCCATGGCTACACGGTTTGTGTATAAGTGTGTGAGTGTGTGATGAACATCATGCACTTGATGTGCTAAACTCGTTTTTTGGCGAGTTCACTCCATCTTCACTCCATGTCTCCAAGTGTCATTTGGTTCGAGTTCGTTGCCCCCTGGGCTCACGGACATCTTGCCGTTCATGTCTCGATACCGAAGCTTTCGATAGTCGGCAAAGAGGGGCTCTAGGGTCTGGTAGATGGTCAGATACCTGAGACTTCTCAAGGACACAGAAACACTCTCTCTGTGCATCCGGAGCGGAACGGAGAACATGGGAAAACCAAGGAGGAGGGCTGTTCATCTCACACCCAAAGAGGGTCATTGATCATCTCCTTTATCCCAAGAATGGCACCCATCTGAACCACTGGGAACTGTTGAAGATCGTTGAAGCACGGAAGTAGATTTGAAGTATAGATCTGAGCCCCTGCCACTTAATCCTGAAAGTCACAGTCATTTCATACCCCTGCCTGGCCTGGCCGTGATCCGGAGATACGCACAGCCCAGTGCTCGCAAATATTTCAGCTCTGGCTGCTTAATGTACTCCATGACCACATCCTCACAAAATATTGCAAGTGTTCGCAGAATGAGGGTCCTACTCGAAATCAACCAGCTTTCACCGGCTCCTTCTCTTAGCTTCCACTTTTTGTGCAAATAGGCATGGCTGCCCAACGCTGGGACAACCATCTCAAAGAGGTTCTTATTGAGGGTTTCAGGTGATTCGATCGATAAACTAATTACATACATGTGATTACTGTATTTGTATATGGCACTGCATGATGTTCCTCAACACCCCTGCGACAATCTTAGAGCAAATAAAAAACATGACATAACAACAATACTACTATATACTACTATGAGTGTAGCGTCATAAGCCATGGGGATACCACAGCAAAGACATGTCCAGGACTGCCCTGAGTGAGCCTAGCCTTGCCCACCCTTCGCAGGCGAGGCCGCAGGCCCGCCTCCTCTGGCTGGATCTGAAGCAGCTTCAGGAAGAGACACAAAAACCGCGAAGGCCGCCGGCGCCCACCATAGGTCCCGGCCACATAGTCCAGCCTCGCGGCCTGCGCGTGCGAGTCCACTAAATTGATGACCTTTGATGACCTGCCAGTAATCCAAAATGACAAATTGATGGAACAATTGAATTTGGAAGTGAGAAAACCAAACGGGATGAAGGTAGGTCCTTCAGTGCAGACCAACACAAGCCAGTAGAAAAATGGTGCCACCAATAAGGCTACTGCAGCAAGCAACACAGCTTGACAGTGCAGGTGTTTGGCTTGATATCCGCTTGAGCCCAAAGTGATCCCTTCAACTACTAGTAACAAGTGCATCGCTACTAGTAACAAGGGCATTGCTACTAGTAGCAAGAAGCTCCAAATCCACTCTACTCAAAACACACCCAGCGAACAGGTCCCAAATGGAGCATGATGGCCTCGTCAATCAACGACTCGGTGGTCAAACCAAAGCAGTATTCCTTCCAGTAAGCATCGTTGTAGATCTTCACTCGCACGATTCGATCCACCAGAAACTGGGGGTTTGCTCCATGGACGGTATCTGCATCAGGGTCAGTGCGGTTCGCCATGTGCAATCACCTCAGCGTTGCAAAATAGACCGTACAAAATGACCCGAGCAGCTGATGTGACTTATGATGTTTTGTGACTTCTGAACTCATGTTCAATCTGGCAAGTTCTACTCCAAGTCTGAGTGTGAGGCGCTGGAGCCCTGGTAGTATTAGCATGATAAGAACAGCTGCGGAAAGGGAAGTTCTGCCAAGTGAGCGTATGCAAAGGCTGGGAGGGGTCCCTTGCACAAGGAAATGCCACAAACCTAGCAGCAACAAATCACTTGTCGAGGTGTCACATAGATCTTCGATGACCTATCAGCACCAGCACACACACACACCGTATATAATTGCAGCCGAAAGACACTGGAATCAACGCAAATCTTGAACTTCAACTAACAATAAGGTCACTTGTTTCATGAGGGTGCTCTATTGAGTATTTTCATGGACTTTGGGACAAAAATCCCAACAAGATTGTCTGACGTCTCCACTCATGAGCGTCTCCAGGCTCCTTTTTTCATCGCCCCTTGCGGCATCCGCAGCCCTGCATCCTCCTGAATCCGCAAGCTAGCCACTCTCAATATATCTCTCAAGCACGGTAACACAAAGACTGATAGAGCCCCCCCGGAGTGGAACATGATCTTCCCGGAGTGGAACATGATCTTTCCAAACATTTGCGACTCTTGCTGTGTTTAGCAATGGGACTCTTAAGAGGGAGTAGCCACTAGCAGTAGATCCAAAGTGGACAACGATTTCAGCCCGGAGCACCAACACACGGACCATCCTTGAGTACAGTCTCACAAAGAAAAAGACTATCATCTAGGCTAAGGCGCATTTGTTTGACAGCATATCAGCTAGCTGAACAGATATGGCTAGGACCCCCATGACTCACTGAGATTCAATGGTGGCCAATCTCTTCAAGGCAGATGAGAAGGAATCAAAGAAAGCAAACCAAAACAAACAAACAAAAACCAAAACAAACAAAAGCAAAAAGACCATGCAGAGAAACAGAACCAAAGCTTTCCCCAAAGGAAGCAAACGAAAAGTCCTCATGTCTTCAGCCCAAGGAAGCGGCCCTGCAACAAGCGAGTGAGAAAAGGCTTGACAGGTCGTTGAAACCAACAATTCGGTTAAACAACTTCAGCTTGGTGCATCGTTTTTCTCATCTACATCTCGGCCCCTTTTTACACATCCTCTTCTATTCTGGCTCAAAGGCCCACGTCTGCTTCACCCTCCCCAGCCTCAAGGATATCCAACAGCAGCTGCTGTCGCTCCGGACCTTCCATCACTGGGCCCAGGAAGGTGTCCAGTTGCTCCAAGCCCTGCGGAGCGACCGCAGGGGCAGACCAGTCTCTCTTCGTCCATGTTCAGGATACGCTTCGGCCAAAGAGTTCACTCGTCTAAGCCGAATCATGAAGCTCCAGTTCTAAGTTGTGGCCCATTGCGTGGTGTTGGAGGATTGGTATTCTATAGGATCTTAGAAGATGGAGGCCATCGCTATTACAAACAATGAAAATTTAAAATATAGTTTGCTTATGTTTGAGGAGAACATCACGGGCTGGACCCAAATGTGCATCCGATTGGTCCCGAAGGATTGACAAACGATGGCCTATGACATGTACTGGGGTCGACCAGGTCAATCGGTTTAGCTGGAGATGGTTCCAGTGTGCTGTGGTGTTTTGTTGGAAACACGTTCATGTCTTTTCCTTCGCAAGTGCAGGCATAGAACTATGTAATAAACCTGTTCCAGTAAATGGGCCTTCCATGTCTGTTTGTTCTGCGCGCCTGAACAAGTTCATCGGGGACACGTGGGCTCTTTTCAAGCGCCAGCTTGAGAACTGCAGACACCTGGCATCTTTTGACGATCTGATATGGATGTAGTTGAAGAATCAAATAAAACCCAAGAGGCCTGCACTTTTTGTCTACTGTCAATTTTTTCTGTGGGTTGGGATGATACACTATAGTTGAGCCATCTCCGCATTTTTGATCCTCCGAGTAGTTCACAGCTGTGATGGGGCGGCTTTGCTCGCCAGGAAAGGTTGTGGCAACATGTGGCAACGGTGTTGTGCAAACCCTGAGTAGTTGCATGTGTGCAACAGGGGCATATCATTGTGGTCCTTGCAGCCTTGCGTGGTGACCATGTTCGCTGAGTACTTGCACGATGTTGGAGCTGGCTGATCAGCTATATCCAGCATGAATACAAAGAACAAATGCCTTACAATCAGGAGATCACCAGAACAAAATGTGATAGCTGCTAGTACAGTGAGAAAGCACAAAAACCACTGGTTCAAAGTACTTGGGTTACTTGGCCCAACTTGACTGTAGGCAAAGGGGTGCAGTCGTCTGGGGCTTGACCCACATGCCGGAGTCACAACTCTACGGCCATTGCACTGTAAGAAGCAGCAACAAAACCATTGTCCGAACAAACGCACCATTGGAGTTTGTTGTCATTCTGAAAGAAAGTTCAGGGCCACTCCCCAACTGAACCAGTCTGGGCAAGGCCCGACCCAACGACCGCGACAAGAAGGAGCAACCAGTCGGTGAAACCGGGCCTTGGAGGGACCGACGGCATGTGCCACCAGCTCCTGTCGGGGGTTCTCCGAAGTCAGGGTGTCGAGCTCTGCTTGGCCTCACCTTTTGGACGTGAGAAATCCAAGCCAATACCACTGGCAAAGTCGATGAAACACCCCTGTTACCTTGTACACACATCCACCTGGAGGACCAACTGTGGATTCCCAAGAACCATTGAAGATTGTTTCATGATGTTTCATGTTCTTGTCCTGGAAAGGTTCCATTCCCTCTTCTTCATAGAAATCAGTGGACCTGAAAATAGAAACTCCCGGTGGTACGGAAATCTGTCCATTAAGTGCAAGCCTTCGGAGCCACGCACGAGAAATGACCATCACGAGTTAGCCTTAATTAGTGAAGTACACCAACGAACCGGCTTGTGAGAGGACCCATGTGAGACACCTAGTTACCTAGTTCTTGCGCGTTAGTGCACTTTGATGCACTTTGTTCTCAGTGAAGAGGTGTTTCTAGCGTACAACAGCAGCCACCCCCTTATGTCCTCCACACATCTTTGGTAAAGCACTCGGCGAACGCCGAAGAGCGGCCTGGCGTCAGGATCAAGAGCGACATGGGCTTTCGTCGTGGCGGGTGACACTTGGCACTCCGTTGGTTGTTGCTTGACCAAAAAGACAAGACATCATGACACAATGAAGACCAGGGCGAGGGACTAACCATAGAAAAGAACGGCTACTAGTAACAAGTGCATCGCTTCTAGTAACAAGGGCCTTACTAGTAGCAACAAGAAGCTATTGGAATTAAGTGTAACAGTCAACACACCAGAGTCCTCGGAGCCAATATCGACTCTTCATCCGCGTGGCCTGTCCCAAGTGATTTGCCCTTTGGCCAAATCTCCGTGGAACCAGGTGGGTGGCGGATACCAGAAATTGAAGCTCACGACCTCAGGCCCAAGTTGTCTCTCACCCAGGAGTCCAGGGATAGGAGCTGAGAGATGTAGTTGACACGGTGTCGTTCGGACATGGATGTGGAGTTGTCTATGAATCTGTTGGTTTTCCTCAGGGACCGGCTCAGGCACAGGAACTCAAGTCAAAAGAATGGAAAACAAAAGAAAACAACTTTTGAAACTCAGTAGAACGAAATCCCAGCAGCTGGAGTGAAAACTGCTTTGCCCTGGTCTCGTCTTCATTGTTTCAGCATGTTTGACGCTGAGTTTACACTGAGGTGGCTACCTCCCCCTTGGGAGATGGCATCATCTCCACATGATGCCACCAGCCTGGTGGGATGTGCCTCAGACCGGGCAACACATGACCGGCCCGGCCCATGTTGCTTCCCAAGATGGTCAACAAGCCGTCTTGGTCGACTGGAAATCCGACTTCGGAACTGTTTCCCAGACCAGACCTGGGAGACGCCCAGAAAGACCTGGGAGACGTCCGCACAGAGTGCGTACCAATGTACCAAGCATGACAAGTTGTAGAGCATGACAAACCCATTTCAGTCTCCTTGAGCCCCAAGGAGAAACCTTTGTAACAAATGCAACATGCGGAACCGGTTCCACGTGGAACCAGATCTCGAGGTCTCCATCGGCACACGTCGTCCTTCGGCTCCTTCATCAGAGCCGCTTTGGTCAATGTTTGGGGCTCCCTGCAACAGGTCGCCCGGCTCCAGGATTGCTTCAATGCCTTGGCCCTTCAACTCTTGGAAGCGAGGGAAGCTCTGCAGATCCTCGCGGGCGTTTCTCGCCTTTGGTCCACAAAGTAGAAATGTTCAACAAATGATTTGTTGGAAAACGACAAGAAGCATGATGAGTCTCATCATGTTCAAGAAGAATCTGAGATCCTCTCAAAGAAAACATAGCATCTCATCTTTTCCAATGACTTTCTTCTATGCACCTAAAGGAACAAAACAAACAAAACATCCTGAGATCTCATACTGAGGACCCACTGGCTGGACCATTGGTGATCATGGGTGACCCCTGTGCAATGTCTCCACCGTCCGGCTGGTCGAAGTCCACGCGGCTCTGTCTGTCCTCGGATCAGATCGTTCGGGTGTGAACTAACCTTAAAGAGAATGGGTACAATTGTAATATATATATATATATTATACTTGTTATAGTTACATAATATCATGGGTAATATCGATATTTGAAATCGTGTATTAAAAAGGAAAAAACATGTGTTGAACCTCCACTTTCCAGGGCACAATTGTGTACTGTGTATGTGTATATATATATATATGCGTTTGACGGTCTTGGAAACAAGTGATTAGTTGCCGCCAGTCTTTGTACGGCTTAGCCAGAGCCACGATGACGCTCCGATCGGACTGATGAACTACGATGACGTCCATCGTCTGATCCTTCCCACCGGCTCTCTCCTGAGGATGGTGAACAGGCCACGGGTACAGGCAGCCGAAGTGCCTGTTCCAGGTAAGCGCGGAAGAAATATTGAACCACCTAAGGTGTGCATTGCCCTGTTTAAGGGAGGGTGGTGCCAGGAACATGTGGCTGATGAACAAGTTCTCAAAGTGATCAAAAACCACCAAGCCGACGCAAAGAGGCACCCATTGGGCCGCAGAACACAGTTCCCCTCTGAATGATCCTTCCAAGTGGTCTCCCATTTGTCGTTTCTATTTCTCACCCACAACTTGTTCAGCGCCTTGGATGAAAGAGGATCACTCGCCTCGGAGATAACTGACAAAGAGTCAAATTGGAACCCTACAAGAACGTTTAAGAAAAGAACATGATCATCTAAATCGGTCTAAATTCCGTTGTTTTGTCTTTGTCCATGTGCTTCAGTTTCGGCTTTCTGTCGATCCTTTTGGATCAAAGGCTGCAAGGATTTGCCAGAAAAGTCTTGCTTTCTGTGACTGGGAGCCGGGAGCCTGTTGGACCATCACGACTCAAACCGTTTCCCAGCTGGCGTTTTCCAACGAGCATGCCTCACGATCCCTCACTCCATCGATGCTGGCACTTTGGCACAAGTGAGACCGGTCATGCTGCCCTCTTGGTGGTGGCATGTCGGATAGGTCATTAGCAAAGCAGAAGACAGCTGTACTGATGCCATTTCTGGCCTGTGCGAAATGGAGCGGGAAAATGGAACGCAAGCGAGACCATCAATCCTTTTGACAAGGGATTGGCTTTTCAGAGGACACGGATTCCACTTGCAATGACACCGGATAATGAATGCCACCCACAAAGAGGCATGTGAGCTCAATCCTCATCTTCGTAGCTATAGCTTTCATCATCCCGATCCTCAGTCAACCATTATATAAACACTCTGAATCTAGCCTCCCAACATTGAAAAGATACAACATCACAAAATCACAATATCTAAGTACTTAAATCCCACATCACAACATCGTCGAATAAATCACACGATCACAACATCAATCTCTATATATAAATTGATAATTCCTAAATAGCATCCCAACATCTAAAATGGCATACAAATTTGGTCAAAAGGCAGCTCGTGGCTTCGCTTTGGCCTTCATCTTCGCTTTGCCTTTACCTTTGCCCATGGCCTTTCCTCCCTTTGGCCCTGCCGCTACCGCACCGCCAGCACCGCCAGCAGCCGCTGCAGCGCCTGTAGCGCCTGTAGCACCTGCCGCGGCAGCACCAGCGACAGCTGCAGCTTTGGGCTCCTGGCAATGATGGAAGGGAACTTGGGAAGGAATGTCCCAGGTTTGGGAAGGAACGCATTGAAATGAGAACATGCAGAAGAAGTCCTCCCAAATGTGCCCAAAGAATGTGACTGGACCAGTACAGGCAGGGCTATGCTATATACACGTTAGGTGTCTTTGAAGCAAAGACTTCTTCAAGCTCATGGGCCTCCCGACAAAATCCGGAGCACCTCGGCTTAAGGCTGGCTTCAGCTAAAGCAAAGCGCTCCTCTTCCTCTTCAAACCATGAGGTTGGATCACAGACCTTTCTCCAGTTGATAGAGCCAGGTGGACAGTACTCCTCGGCTCAAACAGACGTCATGCGAAGGTGATGTCTTGGGCAAAACATGCAAGAAACTCTCATCAGCTTGCAGTAGCCTCAGTAACCCACTATGCAAATCTCTCTATCGAAATAGCCGCAACCACTCTGAAATCTCTTCATACAACGCTAGTAGGTTGGAGGTAGGTTGCAGGCTATCGATAGTAGCTTGGGACCAATTGCAATTAGGTTGGAGGCCACCGCTTAGGTTGGAAGCCATGGCCATTAGGCTGGAGGCCACCGCTATTAGGTTGGAAGCCGTCGCTAGTAGGTTGGAGGCCATCGGTTGGAGGCTATCGCTTAGGTTGGAGGAAATCGCTCTTAGGTTGGAGGTCATTGCGTCATTGCTAGTAGGTTTGAGCCCATCGCTAGTAGGTT